AGGGGGGCAGGCGGGGCCGGGCGAGGGCGGGGTCTTGGGCGGGCGAGACGGGGAAGTGGATGTGATGAATCTTATGGAAATGCACACGATTAGCCATGGCTGGCGTCTCCGGCACGCTGGGTCCCCCCCTTTTCCCTCCTCTCTCTTCCTCTCCAATTTGCGTCTCTCACTTTTTGTTCCCCATCCACCCATCTATCTGGCCTTAAATCAAAGCATCATGTGTGTTGTGCGTTTGTTCTTGTGAATCTGAGGCCGTGGAGGAGAGAGGGTGCACAAGACCCCTGCCCTTGCTCCTGGGCCGCGGGGGTAGGCCGAGGGCCAGGCTGGAGGGGGTGCAGTTTGGGGCGTGATAGAATCGCGGCTGGGGTTGGGCGGGGAGCGGAGGGGGAGAGAGGGGGGGGGGAGATCGCCAGATAACTTTCAATGTTGCAGGGCTCATTGTTCGCGGCACAGCGGCGGCGGCCCGCCCGCCTTCGAAAGTCGATAGTTTTCATCACTCTGTCCATCCAACCCCCGTCTCATCAGCGAGGGGGGCGGCGGCAGCAGCGGCGGCAACAGCGGGGCGGGCGATGCAATCCGTGATGCGATAACGCGTTTTAGGCTGTGAGCGTATCGTGGCCAACGACACACGAAACTCTGTGGCCTTTTTGGTAGGGGGAGCAGCAGGGTGGAGTGGGGTGGTGGAGAGTCGGCGTGTTGTGTTGTCTTCTCCATGTCGGCCGCAGACTACAATACTACCACGCATGCAGAAACCACCCCCCACTCTCTCCCCCTGCTATTCACGAATCGGGTATACGGTCGGCGACCATAGAACACATTTCATACTTGGACGCACTCTCCCGCCCCCTCACCCGGCCCTCTCTCCCGCGTCTCCCCCCTCAGCCGGATGGATTTAGATGGCCTTCGGGGACTAGATAGCGCGCCAGGATGTCGACAGGGTGGCGAAAAGGCCTTCGGCCGCCGCGGCGGGGCTCTGCGCGGGGAGGACCGCCGTCCAGCGGCCGCGGCGCCTGCAAACTACGCACACAGTTTTCTTCCTCTTACAGGAAGTGTACGCTAGAGTGAAAAGATATCGTGCCAACGGCGCTTTAGGGGCGCAACAAAGGCACTTGGACCGCAGTTAATTCCGGCGCCGCCCGTCCCGCCTCATCGGCCCTCGGGGCTCTGCTGTTGTTATTGGAGGTGTGATGACCCCGGAGGGGCCCAGCCAGAGGGGCCCACCAGCGAGGGAGCTTCCTCCCCGAAAAACAAAGGCCGGGCGCCCAGCGGCGTGATACGATCCGTCTCTCTCTCTCTCCCTCTCTCTCTCACTCTCTCTCCTACGGTTAATAATCCTCTCCTCTAGCCGGGGCGCCCGGGCACACACACGCAACCCTTGAGACGTGGCACGTCGAGAGGGAGAGGGAGAGAGAGCGAGAGAGGGTGAAGGGGGAAGCAGAAGAGCCTCTCTCTTGAGATCGTTTCTGCGGACAGGCTGGCTGCGAGGGCAGGACAGGCCCCTTCGCCTCCCACCCCCACAAGACCGCTTCCCACCAATGTTGCACATGGCGACGTACAGTACACCAACCACACACACACGAGCCGGGCTTCCACGTCAAGCCTTTCTGCGAATGGGATTGAGAGGAGTGCGCAGTATCGGCAAACAGCCAGCCTCCTCTCGTGATTCGAATATCACTGAAAAGAATGCACTCTTGGCAGTTAAGAGGCAGACAGCAAAACATAAACATTGTACTGCTTACCTGAGATACCAATACTTCGATATTCTTTTCGAATTGCACGATTTTTGTCGGCTTCGGTTGAAAAAGAGCGCCAACATTTAGACGCCTCCCACTACGAGGTCCCTTTAACAAAGTGCGTTTTTATCATCAATTTACTTTTTGTTAGAATCTCATTTGACAGCCTCTAAAATCTGTACGTTATCTGCAAAACATTGTTTGGTTGAACTCAATGACTCTACTTTTACCTTTCAACTTGTTCGTAGATAGGCCTCTTTATGAGGATTTAATCACAAAAATACTGATGAGATCGTGACAAATCGTGACCACCTGGCTCACGTGGCTCCTTTCATAGGCAACTTTTTTGGCATCCAAGTCCGAGTAGAGAGGCGAAACTGCAAATATTTGGCCAAGTCACATCCGCATCACAGTCTAGGCGTATACCTTCGCGCCCATGCCGCCCAAACTTTCGTGTCGCTCTGGTACCTCGACACGCTGCGAGCGAAGCCATATCGTTGCCGTGGGAACTGCTTCGTCTATTCCTCGGCGGCTTGATTGACGCTACGGCGAGGGCAACGCACAACGCCCTCCTCTGTCCCCGGCGCCCGCCACGCCAGGCCACGCCGTATCGATTCGGC